TCCTTTGAAACAGGCAAAAATGTAACTTCTTCCATAAGGTGACACAGAAAGACAGCTGTTCATATGGGGATTCACCCACCACAGGTTCCATGCATGTCCTCACTGTGATAACATGAAGCTTCTGCCGAGAGAAGGTGTCAGTGTAATGACAGTCATGTGAAGCTCCTCGGTGATCAGAGGGGCAGAACATACTCTTTCAAACAGTGGAGGTGGCCAATGGAAATGGGATGGCTGCTCTGTCACTGAAGCATAAAAGAATGAATTCAGAGTTCTTTCTTAAGGTTGCTAGAGGCTTGGTGAGTCAGAGGATATGGTGCTCTATCCTATAGTTTCTGATTCTTGCTGTATGTCACTGAGTTATAAGAGTTGACATTGGGGCTAGGGAAATGACCTGGTGGATCAAGTGTTTGCAAACCCAAAAATCCAAGTTCAGATCCCCAGTGTCCACATACAAAAGTCAACCTGAGAAGGTGGTTACAAGTGGATCCTAGGGGCTGCTAACCAGCCATGGTTTCCAAATGGCGAGTCCCAGTTTCAATGGGAGACCCCTGCAGAATGCCAGCTCAGATTTAGGTAAGATGCAGATACTAGTATACTAACCCATGGAATTCACTTAACCATCAGTGCAGGTGGACCCAGTCACAATGGAGGACACTTAAGTCCCGGGAGGTTGGATAAACTGCTCAAACTCACAGTGCTAAAACAGCAGAGCCAGGATACAAGCCAAGTGTCTCCTCTGGAGCTGTGCTCTAGTTAACATGTCCCCCCAAAAGGCCTATAGAGAGCTTTGATGTCCTTCTCTCAAAGGACACTGGAGGAAGGCTCTTGGGAAGGCATCAGACCAACTCCAAGGGTCTCACTGCTTTTGTGTGCACCTGGATTTTCAAGTCAGGGCTTGCACCAGGGGGAAGATGCACTCTGGGACAACTGTTTGCTCTCATCCCTGATGTTTTCTCTAAAGATGCTGCACCTCCCTGCTCTCTGCAGAGGACACACACATTCAAATGCAACAAGCCCTCACAGAGACATACTCATTTTCTTCCCTCCTGGCTTCCCCCAGATCTCCTGTCCTCTCCTTTTCCTTCTTTCCCACCTTTCCTGGACAAAAATGGCATGAATTGAAAGTCTAAGAAGGAACAAGTACTGGCTGACCTAATGGGGTTGGAGATAAAAATGAAAAGGGAAAAGTTTACTTGAGAGAAGTAACGGCTAAGCTAGGTACAGTGGCACAGTTACAACTGCAGGTGCTAGGGGATTGGGAGTTTGTAGTCAGCCTGGGCTGTACAGCAAGACCATGCCTTAAAATAAATGTAACTGCCATTAAAGTGGAACCACAATGAAGACACCACCTGGCACTGACCTTGATTAAAATGTGTTTAACAAGCGCCAACGAGGAGGCTCAGGAACCAACACCTCAGAATGGTGGTAGTGACAGGAAATGACTTGGACACTTACGGAATGCTCTGGTCTGCATTCTGCTGCTACGGTAAAGACCATGGTTGAAAGCAATCTGGGGGAGATGGCGTTTACCCCATCTTATAGCTCTCCAGTCATTGAGGCACATCAAGACCGAAATTCAAGACATGGATGGGGAGATGACAGAGGAACACTGCTTAATGACTTGCTTGCTAGGGTTATGCTCAACTTGCTTGCTAGGGTCATGCTCAGCTTTGCTTGCTAGGGTCATGCTCAGCTTAATTTATTATACCTCCAAGGACCATCTGCCCTGGCATGGCACTACCCACCCTGGACTGGGTCCTTACGCATCAATCATTAATGAAGAATATACTCCACTTATCTGGCTATAGTCCAGTCTTATTGGGAATTCTCTCATCTGATGCTTGCTCTTCCCAGATGACCCTAGCCTATACCAAGCTGACAAAAGAAAACCTAACTAGCATAAGGAAGGGTTGTGGCAGTTCCTCAAAAGTCATAGAGTGGCCATGTAACCCAGAAATTCTACTACTCAAAATAAACCTAAGAGAATTATACATATGTTCACAAACATGTACAGGAATGGGGGCACACACACACACACACACACACACACACACACACGGCTCAAGAATGCACATAACAGCATCATTTATAACCCCTCAGTAGAAATAAACTAATGCCCATAAATAAGATGTGGAATACCATTTGGCGTATAAATAAATGAAATAGCAATCAGTTGACACTACAACCATGGTCAACACAGGGGAGTGTACAGTATGTGAAAAAATACATAGACCAAGTCCACATATTAGAGAATTCCATCCATACTCTGTGAACAAGAGACAAATACATAGAGACTGAAAGAAAACCAGCCGGCTAGCATTTGACTCGAGCTGGTTGCACAGGTATGGAGGAATAACCACAAACAGGAGGATATGTCCTTGGGCTCACACAGCCTGGGGGCCACGTAGACCAACCAGTATGTGAAGCAACATGGTACTGCCTAAATAATGAATTTTATAGTGTGAAAACCATACATTAGTGAAGCTGAGTAATCCACTATTAAATAAACTACCGTGGACACCAGGAATGTCCACTTCTTTCTGACTGAGAGGTGGCAGCTGCAGAAGTGGCAGAAACTCAAAACTATGGATTCAGAAAAAGAAAATATCTGAAAGAAAGAACATAGAAGAAAAGGGGGAGAGAATGAAGAGGATACTTTTCTATTTAATTGAATTTGTATTTGTTGGGTATGTTAGGTACCTATCATAGCAGATATATAGACACTATAGGTGATCTCCAGAATTCCAAATCCAAATCTTCTTTTCCCAAAGATATTAACTCCCAAAATCAGGGTATCCATGAGAGGTAAGGCAACATTAGCTTTTAATTTTCCTCCAAATTTCCCAGGGACTAGATTGCAAAGGCCACAACTGTGTCCTCTGGTGTCCTGCATTCCAAGCTCATGAAATATAAATATTCCATTGACATGTAGCCTGTCCATTGTTTCCTATGTGAATTCCCAAGTCTAGTGTGCTCATCCTGTATATCACACTGTCCTGTAGAAGACTCCTGCTCTGACTCCAGCAGGAACTTGTCCAAGGCATAACTGGAGTTCAAGGCTAACAGCAGATACAGCTTTAACAGTTATTGTTTTTGAAATGGAGAAATATTGTGTCCTGGAGGCTTCTAACTTTTAGACTATCATCAAACCTGTTCCACTCAGTATGCCTTAAGCATCCTTTGTGTAGAAAATCAAATTATAGCTTTCTCCAAGAATGGGTGAGCCATTAATTGATCCAATGTGTCTACGGTTCTGCAAACAGTTTCTTGGACAGGAACACATGATGACCAGTATGTTGTGCACAGAGAAACCCAGTTTAAGATTCCATGTTCAGACATGGAGAAGCATTTAAGGACTCCTGTAAATTCAATCAACAACGTTGGTGTTTACAGAACCCAGAATAACTCCTGCATGTCCTACTTCCCACTCCTGAATCTATATTTTCCATATTAAATGTTAATTGAGAGATACCTTACATGACTCTGAGCACTCTTCATAGTGCAAACATCCTTGGAGATCAAGTTTAAGCAGTGGTCCTGTGACTCAAAGTCAGAGTACAGGCCTCTCCCTGGGAGAACAGTTTCAGCTCCAGGAGTTACAGCAAATACCTCTGATGTGCAGGTTGGAACTTTTCTAAAAAGGTAATGGCCTCTCTTCACAATACGCTGCCTGCAGTTTTGTGGCCTGTTTTTCATAAGCCTCTGGCATTTCCCCCTCCCAGCCTGTTTGCCTGAAGGTTGACATATGCCCTTGACAATAATAGCTGGTGTTGATCACTCGGGGCAAATTCATTGTATAGTTTACTAATAGGTGGCATGAGCTCTTGAAAGGAAACCCTGTCTCTAAAGAAAGCAGGGCTGCACACAGCCAATCGGGGTATTCCGTCTCGGTTGTCTGCTTATTAAAAATCTGCCCTTTAGTTTCAATAATAGTTTTGACTGGGGCTTCTCTTCTCAGAACACTCCCTGTCATATCTCTCATTTCCTGCCCCTCCCCCACTGCCTTCGGGGACCTCATCTCAGGAAAACCTGTGAGGAAAAAGGATCCGGCTCCCAGGCACCTCTGTTAAAGCCTGCTCTCAAGGAGGGTAGTTTCCTAACCCAGCTGCTTGTGCTAACAATCATGAGTAACACAGCCTTGTCGAGTCTGTTACCCCTCCCACTGAAACACTGCTTATAGACTGTGTTCGGTTGGGATAACAATGTTTGTTTACAGTCCTGTCCTCCTGTCCCCGTGATCATCAGCAAACTGTGTAGTGCGGTCCTCAGCGTTCTAAAACAGGCAGGCAGAGGACAACAACAGGGCAAAGTAATTCTAACTTTATTGTTCTCCTTGGCTTGTTGGACATTGCTGCTAGTCACCACGGGCCCCTGCCAGTCAGCTTCTGTCTAGATGACAGCCCCGTCAGAGCTGGCACACGGAATGTTATTCATGGTCTGTGTAAACTCAACAAGGGGAAGGGGCTCTCGAGAAGGGTTGGAACCTGACTTTATGGAAGCTGTAAGCGGTCAGCTGCAGGCAGGCAACTTGATCTGCCTCTTGATACACACACACACACACACACACACACACACACACACACACTTGCATCAGGGATGTATATCTGATGCACACAGTGAGGCACAGAGCTGAGTTATCAGATCTTTCGGTTTCAAACAGGTGCCAGGGAGGGCCACTAACAAGACGATACCAGTCCTGTACCCCAAACCTCACTTCCCACGTTCTCCGGGGAGAAGTCAGTCAACCCACCACTGTGAACCTTCTCCCGAACAAGAAAGACTCTCTGATATCCCCCAACATACTGAAACCTCTTCTACCTCTCCTTCCCTATCCCCAAGTGATGCTTAACAAAACTTAGTAGGTTCCTGCATAAGACACCGGTCCCTGGTGCTTCCTGGACTTTCCAAGCAGAGGTGCCCAGTAGGCAGCCCTGGGTCTCCCATACGCTTCCCCGGGCTCCCCTCCCCCACGTCCGCCAGGCACCCCTGGGGTCGCTCACCTGCGTGGGGCATGGTGATGGTCTCGTTGGTGTTGGAGCCCACATTGAAGATGACCACGGCCGAGGCATTCTGCAGGAACGCGTTCCGGATCTTATCCCTGTAGGTGCAGTTGCCCTTGGGGATGAGGGCTATCCAGTGCTTGCCGTGGGCTGGAGCGGCGAACTTGGTGTTGGGGTCGCAAGCCAGGCGGTCGTGGGCCGAGCTGGCCATGACCACCTCCCCGCGCGCGTCCTGCTTGGGCGAGTGCTCGCCGTACCGTCCGCACTCTGTCTTCTCCGTATGCAGCTCTGCGCCGCCACCGCCGCCGGCCACCGCGGCCCCGGGCTCGGGCTCGGCATAGGTGATGTTCACGAAGGCGGTGTACCATTCCTCCTTCTCCGCCACGGTGAAGTCCAGGCAGAGCAGATGCACGAAACAAAAGGAAAGCAGCCATGTTGAGAGAGCCAGACTGCGGCACGCTTGGATGAGAGACATTGCCATCTCTCTCCTCCGGGGTCCCCTCCCCGCCCCCTGTGTCCTCCTCCCTCTCCGTCCTTCCTTTCCCGGCCCCGGCCAACCCTGGCCGGCCGCTTCTGTCCTCCTGCCGCTGCGGCTCACTCCCGGGCCGGCGGGGCCCCGGCTGGGACACGCAGTCGCTGCTGCGGAGACAGGATTCCGGGCGAGCGGGCGAAGCCGGCCCTGTCCCCTTCTCAGCCGACGCGCGGCGCTGGCATCCGGCTTCCCGGGTGATAGCGGTGGCGACACCGAGCGGGCGCCTTGCGCTTGCGGGGGAGTCGGGCTGCCGGGCGTCCTGCTCCTTGACTCGGCGCCGCCCTCTCTCATAGGGGTTGCGGGGTTCCTGGAGTTTAGAGGGGGTAGCGGCTCTGCTCGTTAAGGCCGGGAGGGACGGGGGCGGGTTGCTCGAGGTCCTGGGTGCTTGGACTGACGGTCCAGCTGCAGTCTCGGCGATAGCTCCGACTACGCGTGGGTTCCTTAGGGCAGTGGCGCTGCGCTCCTGGCTGGACTAGGTGGCTACGCCCGGGACACTCACTTGCGGAGGGAGTGAACCATATGGGGCGAATGGGATGGGGGGTGGGGGGGCCGTGCGTGCGGGGAGGGATACAGCGATTTGTGTGTGTGTGTGTGTGTGTGTGTGTGTGTGTAATGTGTGCGTGCAAGGAGGAGCTTAGTATGATGTCAAAGCTCCTGGGCTCCCCTTGCCATGCTCACTCTTTCTCTCTTCCTGGGAGTGAGCGACCTCTGGCGGGCCTCAAGTTCTGTCTCAGCCAGCCACTTGGATCAGTTGGGGCAAAAGGGAAAAGACTTTTGCATTGGGCACAAGGCCAGAGCCTTAAATTCAGGGAAGTGTTTGTACCTCTCTTGAACCTTTCCCTTGGCTGGAAAATGTGCAGAGGATCCCAAAGCTGGTGGATCACGAGGCCCTTTTTCCCCAGTCCTGAATATCTAGGACAGTGTCTATCGAACACCATTTTAAAACCAGTACTGATCTGCTCTAATGCAAGAGAGTTTCAAGTTTATTGGGTCAGGGGTGGGGTCTCTGGTGATGCGTGCTTGCTAGTCTAGGGACCTGTCTGTGGTGAAGACATGGTAGACGTTCCTCCTCCCCTCTGGAAGTCAGTACCTGGAATTTGTTTGCGACATAGAAATGCATCTTATCTCAAACCGAAGACCTCCTCGGAATGGGACATTTCGCCAGTTTCCTCTAGCAGTCATGGCCTGAGACAGAGAACTCACTGCGTCAGCACGAAAGAGAGGCCTGTTTAGGTTACTGTTTTAAAGTGTGTTCTCCAGCTGTGCACAGAGATTAAAACAAGTCAGCGGAGAACAGTTTCCCTAGAGGAGTGTTCTAACAACAGAATTCCTTACCAATGAAATGTCTGGGGCGGTTGTTATAACTCCTCACCAATGGTTTCCATAGCTTCAGACACCAGTGATATAAAGTGTCTATTTACTTATTTATATATCTACATGGTGGTTTTCAATTACCCACAGCATTCTTTCCACACGGTGCTCTTTCACAGAAACGATGCCCGATTTGTTATAAGAAATAAAACCCGATTTCCCCAGGAGCTTCCCATGGGCCCAGGACTCTTCCTTTGGGCAGCCATATAGGCAATTGTGACTTCTAGGGGAGCAGAGAGGACCCCAGCTCTATCTAAACTAGAAGCAGGCACAAGAGAGGCTTAGAAAAGAATCTGTCTCTATGGTACTTGATGTGCTGGGTTTGCATGTGTCTCTAGCTTATTCCTTGTATAAAAGAAAATAGGCTTTGAGGTAATTGGAGCAGTGCTTTTTATATGTTACCCAATGCTGAGGAGTTGGAAGCAGCTGCTGTCTGGGAAAACTGCCCCTGGCTACAGGTCCCCAGGAAAGGATTCTGTCCCTGTGCTTTTTGCAAAGCTCGGTGGTTCTCTGAATCTCCCTACCTCTTAACATTTTTCCCTAGCCACGGACTTGAAGAGGCACCATTAAGAATACATGAGCATTTCTTCCTCTCAATTCACCTTAGAAAACTGAAGGCATAACAGATAGCCGGGTTGAGGAGGCAGCTCAGACGATGAGCTTGCCAAACCGGGGTCATCGAGCAAATAAGTAAAATATTAAGTAAAGCAGGGGCCAAGTTTTGTTTGTTTGTTTCTTACAGTGGGTAGCAGAATTTGCAAGTAGAGAAGGTTTTTTTTAAAGAAGTCCTAAAATTTTGCATTGGGTTAAAATGAATTTGGAATCACTTTTTAAAAGCTATCACCTATGTTTACATATGTGTGATGGCATGAACAGGGAAAGATATGCACACAGCATTCCTTCTATTCAGAGCCTGGAAACAAAGGATACACCAAATGGCCCAAAGATCTTGCTTTCTCCTTGTGATCCCCCTATAAAGAATCTGGGCTGAGTCTGGAGCTGTGTCTGAGGAAGTGCAAACGGATCCTGAACATTATCCTAGGGACATTCTCAAAAAACATGACTGGAGTATGACACAAGTACACAGAATCCTGCTGGAAAGGGCTCTTAGCCAAACCCAGGCTAACTTAGGCATTGGAATGAAGGTAGTAATTTGTTAAAACCTAATGAATAGGAAGTTGCCTATGTTAACATAAATAAATGAAGCAAACAACTGTGGGAGAAGAAACTGTGTTTGTGAAGAGTGGGAAAGTCTGCCCGTGGGGAGCGATGGCGCTAGGAAGGCTCCATTTGACAGAGTGTTGGTAGCTTCTCCTGGGATTCCTGTGGAAAACAAAGCTGCAGGGGTAGCTTTTGATGCTAAGTAGGGTGTTAGCCTAGTATATTCCAAAAATACTGTCTTCCAAGGGGCAGCTGCTGTTACTGAAGAGAACCTTGGACAGCTCAAAGCAGACAAGTGTTCATGGTCCGGATCACCAGCAATAGAAAGAATCACAATGTGTGTGCCCCTGGTGGGATACACCCAGATGTGTATTTTGTCACAATACACACATCCCAGGTCTGCACACCAGGAAACACAACACAGGCTTTGAATCTATCCTATGAAATGAAAGCTCTGTGCTTACACTCTGAAGCTAACAAAAGACGGAACTGGCAGAACCTGCTCGAAGAGAATCAGTTGTCGTGACTAAAACCAGCAAATGATTCAGGATGGGGTCCTGGAGTAGATGGGAAAAAATAAATAATTGGGAGATGTCTTAATGAAGTCTGTGGGCTTTGCAGTACACTTACGATGCGATTTCCTGATTTGGAAGTTTACATCACGGTTTTGCGGAAGAACATCCTTGGGAGGGGTCTGCGTGTTCAAGGTACTGACCAGGCAGTCTGTCTTCAACATACTCTTATATGGCTATGAGAAAATGATTAACTAGAAAATCTTGATTTTTCACTAGGCAGGCTTCCAGGAAACCTGGAATTCAGTTCTCGATGTTAATACACTCTCACAGGCTTCCAGTCATGTGCTGACCATGGTTTCCTCCCAGCTTGACTCTTCACGACTCCAGTGGGATGATTCGGACCATTGAAAGAGAAAGAAAACCTTGCTGTATCCTCCCTCCAACACACAACATCCCGATAAAGAAGGTGCCGCAGTAGCCTTCCACTTAGCAATAATACTGATTACATTTACCTACTATTACACAGCTTTCCAGACTTGGATTGACAACTGGGAGCTAAGCAAGAGACTCTTGCATGCATGGTGGGATGGGAGAAAACTAAATTCTAAAGTTTTACTTATGTCAAGTTAACAACATGTTCCACAGGGAGAAAAGGCAGTAGATGGGGAGAGGGAGAATTGCTTTGCACAAGGTTCTGTTTCATGTCAGAGTCAACCGCTCCAACAAGATGATGTCTAAATACAGTCCTCAGAGTGAAGGATTTGAGTGATATGTAGGGACCAGTTGTTGGTAACGAGAAGAAGGAGACGTGGACCTGACAGCACAGAGGATGGTGTTTGATGTGCTCAGGAATAACAGTGAGCCCTTCACGGGCGGAGAGGATGGGGAGAAGTCGGCAGCGGAAGAATGGGATCACAACCGTGCATGGGAAGACTGTCATTTAATTTGGATGAGAGGAGAATTTCTGGAAAATTTCTGAACAGAAAAGCGTGGTATTATATGAGAATATGGAAAGTCCATTCTGAGAGTACTAGAGGAAGTGTAAGGAGAGCAATTAAGGATCTGCAAAAATAACTTAGGAAATCTCGAAGAGTGACTTGTGCTGGGAAAGTATTGGAACATGCTGAGGAGAGATAGGTTCCACGGAGTGTTTTAGAGGAGGACCAGGCTCTGTGTTCTGATGCATTTGATGCGGGCAGGAAAGACAGACAGAAGCTGCAAAGCAACTGGAGTTGTCATTTTTTAAGATGAGCAGGATTGCAAGAGGAACTTCTGGGTTAAGAACCGACAAGTTTAGCCATGTCTGGTGTAAAATGCCTAGAGGTATCAAGATAGCAATTTGATGCTATTTACCACAGTATTAGGTCTCAGAAGAGAGAAAGGTGGGTCAGAGCATATGAAGAATTTCTGTTATTGTCACACTAACAAGATGACCAAATTGCATTTTTAAAGGTTGGCTTCCCCAAGCACCAAGGTAAAGTGGACTCCTTAAAGCAGTTCTTAAAATAGCAACAGTGACAAGTCCCTACCTCTCTGAGGACACTCCAAGCAGCCACAGCACTGACCAGGTGGAAATGAAAGGTTTCTACAGGGCTTCTTGGCACGGGGAGGTGATTTGATCTTAAAACTTACAGGATGTCTGTGTCTGAGTCAGAAGCAAAGGGCAGCCATAGCAAGGACTGCAGTGTTTGGATTCTCTAAGCACCTGCCCTGTGGAATTCTACAGCCACCCTCCATTTTCACATGTCTTTATGTCTCAGTCAATGTGCCCAGCATGCTTGAAGAGACAGACCCCAGACATTCTATAAACTAGGTTATATAACTTAGAAATACAGTTTTCTAGAGCTTTACATACACACTTTAACAGAAGTTTTATGTGAAGACGTTGCAACATATGGCTTTGCTTTATCCTACGTTCTTGTTGTATATTGATTGATCAGTCCCACTTAATAACCCTGATGACCATCCATTAGCATGTATCTTTTCATTGTAATAAACTCTTAGATGGCCACACCCCTGCCTGAAAATGAAAGAAATCTTTCAAAACCTGTCCAACAAGACTGAAGGGGGAGGGGGAATCCACCAAATACCCCAGAGCACCGCCGGGATAGCTTAAGCATCGAGGCTGCCATGACTGTTTTTAAAACCAGCTTCCTGTGAATGAGTACACTATGCTGTGTAGGCTTGTTGTGTCTTGCTGTAGAGACAGTCCTGTTTGCTCAGTCTTCCATATTTGCATAAAGGGGGCATTCCATGCTACAGGAGGAGAGTCTTAGTTTTGGCTTTAGGCAAACCATGATTGGAACCTCAGTGGCTATGCAGGCAGTTTTAATTGTGGGGAACAACAATTTTCCCATTAAAGCTTAAGGGATCACATTTTCTCCTAAGATGTGAAAAATTCTAAAAGGCAATGTGTGTTAGACACATAGAAGCATGAGGGAAACATTAGGAAGGAGTCAGGGAAATAAGCGTGTGGGGGTTGGGGAGATCTGAAAAACA